TGTGAACAGCATCATGAGAGAAGTTTTGACAGGTTTGAATGTAGAGCACATAAAAACATCCCCATATCACCCCCAGGGAAATGCTAAAGTGGAAAGGTTTCATAGAACCTTGGGAGATGTATTAGCCAAGTTGGTCAGAGAAAACATTGGAAATTGGGACTTGTATTTGACGCAGGCTCTGGCGGCCGTGAGGTTTACGATAAACGAAACCTCCAGATTTTCTCCTTATTTTTTGTTGTTTGGCAGAGACGTGGTCCTGCCTGTAGATAACCTACTGAAGCCCCGAAGAAGGTATATGGGAGAAGATCATCATCAACTATTGCTGGAACAGCAACATAAGATATTCGTACAGGCCAGAAGAAGAATAAAGAGGGCCCAGAAGAAAAGAAATGAGAGGGTGAATGCTGAAAGAAAGGTGGTAGAATTGAAGGTTGGAGACCCTGTCTACTATAAAATCCACCAGAGGGAAGGAAAACTGGACCAGAGATGGGAAACGTACTACCGGATAGTAGAGCAGACGGGCCCAGTATCATATGTAATATGGGATCAAGTGGCAGGACGAGCGAGGAGGGTTCATGCCAATGATCTGAAGAAGGCTGAAATAGCTAACCTGGAAATGAGCGAGCCGGGGCCTAAGAAGACAAGGAAAAGGAAGGTAACTCTGGTTGAACCGGAAGGAATGGAGACGGAGGAAGACTCCGAAGAAGATGAGGAGATAGGTCGACTTGACCAGATAAACGAAGCAGTCCGAGTGACAGAGTTGGAACCCTCAGCGGGGATTAGCGATGTTCAGTCGTCGACTGAATCAGTGCAGAGAAGACCCCGTGAGATCGCCATCACACCCCCATGTCCGAAGAAAAGGAAGAAAAAGACGAAGAGGTCCAATCAAGCAGTCGAAGGCTCTAAAAGAGACACCCTGAACAGGACGAAGGACCCAGCGAGTGGGAGGAGGAGGATCGAATACCCCTTTCCCAGCTTAGGGAAAGGATAAGGAACAGGAGAAGTTCAGACATAGAGTCGAGAGGTATTGAAGACATTCAAGGCGAAGACTCTAAACAGAAAGAAGAATCAGAGGATGAAGAAGAGGACAAAAAACCTCCTGGACGGGAGTTAAACACAGAAGGAAGGGTGGAGGTCGAGCAGGAATCACCTCGGAAGATGAGATCAGGGAGGAGAAGAACCCCAAATCTCAGTAGAACAAAAGGGCTGTGCAGAATAGAAGCATTTAGTGTCAACAGATAACGACACTGGCTCATCCAAGATCCTATTGGCTGACTATGGTAGATGTGAGTGGAGGGGATGGAGATGCGGGCTGCACCTCACGAGGAACGGAAGATCATTGGCATTATTGATTGGCCACCAGTGGTGTCATGAAGTACGACCTTTAGAGTGGGCGCCACGCACACCTGACCAGACCATTCTGTCTGCTAGGGGTTAGTTAGAGGAGGGAAGAGCCGAACTAAGAGAAAAGTTATGAAATGATTGAGTGATGAGTCGAGCGAGACTAAGTGATTGTGAAGAATAACAACAAGAGAATTTGTTACCTTTCAGGAATGATAGCAAGGTACAAGGTGGAAGCAGACTACATAGCATTAAATTCGGGGAGAACGAAATTCATGTTGCTATCAGCTGAAGAAGCTAGAAGGTGTAGAGATGATACCCTGGGGACTTGTACCTCGTTGAGCCCTATCTACAAAACTGGTAACCGCAGAATGTGCATATTAGAATTGTTTGAAGGGAAGGGGGAAGGAATCAAAAGAATCTGCCAAGTAGAGGTATTAACAAACTCGGCATTACCACAAGCTATCAGTGTTTCAGACGGGGTGTGGGCAGTAGCCACACAAAAATATATCAACCTGTCTAGGGTATGTGGGGGAGAGTCCACAAGGACATTAAGAATAAGGCCACCGTTATCCCTGGTGACGCTACCCATGGGATGTTCGGCGGTTGGGGTGTCCATCTCCTTGCCCCCCTATTACCAGATGGAAGAAGGGTATGAAGAAAAAGATTCACTCATAGAGATGATTGGTAGAGGCTTAGTCAATTGTACAGAATTATGGGGGAGCCGATAGTGAAGAGATTCTCTAATGTCACCTTAAATACGATGCCAGTATTAATGAAGCCAATAGAAAAGATCGATATGGATCACTTAAGGGATAAGTTAAGTGCGTTGGGAGACGAAGGTGTAGCTTGGGAAGACGATGAGCAGATCGCGATAAGTTGGTCAATAGTGATGGGTACATTCCTAGTTATAGCCATCGGGGGGTGTAATAATATGGAAGATTAAGAGTAAGAGAAGATTAGCGAACGACAGTCTAGTGAGCATGCAACAACTCGAGAGGGAGATGCCGAGCAGTGTTCCTTACTCAGACAGGACTGGCGAAGAAATTGCTGAAAGACCAATGGAGGAGGCTGGCGTGAGACCACCACGTGCGGCGGAAAACCTCCCACGGCAGAGAGGAAAACATTGACCAAGAAGAACAAACCCTAGTGAACACATCTGCACCTACAAACACACGCACACATTACCTTGCATGTAAAACAAAAAGAAAATGAAAAGAACATTTCATTGCATGTAGAACAAAAAGAAAATGAAAAGAACATTTCATTGCATGTAGAACAGAAGAAAATGAAAAGAACATTTCATTGCATGTAGAACAGAAGAAAATGAAAAGAACATTTCATTGCATGTAGAACAGAAGAAAATGAAAAGAACATTACATTGCATGTAGAACAAAAGAAAATGAAAAGAACATTTCATTGTATGTAGAACAGAAGAAAATGAAAAGAACATTACATTGCATGTAGAACAAAAGAAAATGAAAAGAACATTTCATTGCATGTAGAACAGAAGAAAATGAAAAGAACATTTCATTGCATGTAGAACAGAAGAAAATGAAAAGAACATTTCATTGCATGTAGAACAAAAGAAAATGAAAAGAACATTTCATTGCATGTAGAACAAAAGAAAATGGAAAGAACATTACCCTTGCATGTTAGAAAGTAGAATAGAATTGCATGAGACAAATGCATGGTGCATGTTAAATGATGTAATTGGGTTTAGGTGTCATTTACGGGTAAATGACAAATCGGTTAGGGGAGGATTGTGGCACCTTGCATTATTAGAAATATTCATAGAAATATGATTTAATTTTTTTTTGTCGATTTATTAAACAGGTTGTTAATTTTTTTTTTAACGGAAAATAATTGAGTTGAAAATAATTCACTAAGATTGTACTTGGACGATCCTAAGGGAAGAAGAAAAAAGAAAGAAAGAGAGTTGGATGATGCATGACCCAGTCATAAGCGAAGATAAGTGTCAGAAAGATATCTTGGCCTGTGTGTGGCCGAATTTTTTAAAGACAATTGGAAGAATAGAATTAGAAATAATAAGAAGAAAGAAAGGAAAAGACATGATATCAAAACGGGCCGCTTGATGAAAACCAGATATCGGTCAAAACATCTGACCTACTTTTGCGTAGAAAGACCCATTATCAATTTGGAGTAAGGGGAAATTTTAAGAGCGAAATCTTAATCAGAGAAAAGGTGTTTTTTGGGTTGAGGGGAGTGACCGGTGGAACTATATACAGATCCTGACCTATTAAAATTAGAAACCTACGATAATAAAGTGGGAACATTTTCAATGTAGATAATTAAGATTTTCTGACTGCCGGGTCTGACAAAAAACAAGAGGTGAAAAAAACGATTGTCTCGGATCACAGATGGCGACGGTATTCTTTCCTGAAGTCACAACTAATTAGCGGCGGGCTGGTTGACAGAGCCCAGGTGAGAGAAAGCCAAGATTGTCATTTTTTCGTACGTGCAGAAAAGGCAAAATTGGATTTTGTTTTTTTTTAAAAACAAGAACGATGTAACCACGCCCGAAAGGAGGAGAAAGGATGCTCGATCAATAACAATTGGTCGGAAACGGTCACGTGATCTGCAGAAAAGAAGAGAAAGTAATGCCCGATCAGGAACCATTGGTCGAAAAACGGTCACCTGACATACGAGAGACTAAGAGAGATGGTGTTCACCTCCCCAAAAAGGCACTGTGAGGAAGTAGGGGCGAAAACAATAGCGATAATGAGAAATCAAAAATAATGCGACTTTTGGAATTATCGAGAAAACCCTGACGCCGGCAGACCCACCCCGGTTTGCTGCGGCGTCAATAAAAGCAGGGCCCCAATCGACAAAAGACAGAAGAGTTCAGCCCCGGACGGCAGCGAGAAGAGATCACCTCGGACGACAGAGAGTTGCGGCTGAGTTGCGGCTGAGTTGCGGCAAGAGATCCTTCCAGCCCAAGTCGAAGACAAGAGAACTTCCAGCCTAAGTCGACGAAGAAGAAGAAATACAACCCAAGTCGAAGACAAGAGAACTTCCAGCCTAAGTCGACGAAGAAGAAGAAATACAACTCAAGTCGAAGAGAAGAATCAACTGCGAATGATCGATAGAAATTAGCCCCAGTGTCGAACCAAACCACACTCCGACATACACAATTCTAAAGAGTAGGCAATTCGAAATCTTTAGGTTGTGTTATAGAAGCTTGGTGCCATAGTCCACAGAGCGGGTTGGGAAATGAGAACAATTTTGTTTTTATGTAACGGACATTAAGATATAAAAGGTTGTTACCCATTTTTTTTTCATCAGCAATCTTTTTGTCTCGTGAGTTTATTTTCTCTTTTATTTGTGTTTTGCCACCCCCGTCGGATTCAACTTGTATCGGCCCCAGTCCCTGCTGGTCCCGACTGTCTAAGATCTAAACACAGCGTGGGTAGACAGACCGGAGATCGGTACAGTTGCTTTAGTGACCAGGTATTGGAAGCGAGTCGGGAAAGGCGAGGCTGGTGATCATCTGACCAAGGGGTTGGAGCGGCACGCTTGGACCCAGGAGGAGCGACCAGGAGGAGCGACGTCACCGTTGGCGCCGTAACCAAAGGATCCGACCCTGGGCCAGGTGTGTAACCGTCACACAGATATCGGCAGTGACACTTTATTCCTCTATGACAATTTCTCCTTCTGATTATTCCTTCAATTTCTCTCCCAAAAATTTCCATCATTTTTCTTTCACTTTTCAGATTCCTTCTCCTTCTTTTTTTTTTTTCATCATCTTTATTATCATTATTTTGTTACTTATGTCACTTCACTGTTATTATTATTTTCTTCATTCTTTTATCTTAATAACCAACATTCTTTTTCGTCATGAAATTAATCATTCATCATTAATTCTTGTTAATTCCATTTATATCTCATTCCAATTATTCCTCTAGTTTTCATTCTTCAACATTCCTATTTTTTTATTGTTCCCTTTATTCTCACCCTCTTAATTCCTTCTCTTTCCTTCTATCTTTCTTTCTTTCTTTCTTTCTTTCTTTCTTTCTTTCTTTCTTTCTCATCATCATTATTCCTTCAGTTGCATCATTCACTTTTCCAAAGTCATTCAGTAGCTTTAGTTTCCTTATCATCATGATCAACACTATTCCTTATGTTTCATCATCACCATCATTATCATCAGCAGCATCAGAAACAAGAGCAAGAGCAACATTCACTTTTTCTTTACGTTCCTCCTTTTTCCTTTTTTATAGCTATTTCTTTGCTTTTTATTTTTTAATCATTTCACCCAAGCAAAGCGGGAATCCCGCAAGGAGTAAAAGGGAAAGAGGACACCGAGAATAGGGAGGACTGAAGAAAGAACAAAAAAGGAAGATAACTCCAGAAGACAATGATTGACGTTGCACATAAATTTTTGATGATTGCAGTTATCAGTGAAGCAAACAAACGGAAGGGAGTTAGACGGGTGGGAAGCGTGAGAAAAGAAACTGTAAGCGTAGCAGCCGAAGTTGCATTTAGCTGTTTCAACATTAAAACGTTGAGAGCTTGATGGCAATCTAGTTGCACCCTTAATTTCATGTAATAATAAACAAAAAACCTCGTCATATCTATTACCACGAGAATATTTGTAGAAAAGACAGAACGAAGCCACGTGACACCTCGGTAAGAAAGTAATTGATGTCGTTTTGCTTGATCAGGATCGATTACATTACAGATCATTCTTTGAATTTTGTCAAGAATTTTCTGATGCACAACAGGAACACCAGACCAAATATGGCAGCAGTATTCAATTCACGGACGAATGGCAGATTTATAAATAACTAGCAGCATGATACGCATAATTATTTGTGTTCCTCTTTTCTTCTTCATCAACATCATCATTATATTTTCTCTCGTCTTTACTTTCTTCATATCAAGAGCCATCTTTCTCACGACTCATGTTAATAACCTTATAAGTTCTTCCAATGGATTATACGAAGAGTGTCAAAACTCGTTCAGAAACATCTGAAATACCAGTCCTTAGATCAGTAGTAAAAATGGGTGGAATCGAATGAAGCCTTTAGATCTTAGCGAATAGGAATCTTACTTGTAGTATTTACATTATTTAGACTGTTAGCCTCATCTTCATTGCCATATTCGCAAAGCTGTTGTACGCTCCAGTCTTCTTCAGGTACTTGAAAGTTAGAACCGAACCCTTTATGTCGTTATCCGGGGTGGTTTGTTCTAGTTCGACATGCCATGCCTCTTCCGGAAGTTTCAGTTTAACTCAACTGACCAAGTTTTGGTTCACCGCTGCTATGGTTTGCTACTGGACACACAACTCTTTGGGTCTAGTCGCTGAATCTAACCAACACCTTTATTCAATAGGTCACGTGTCCTTGAGTATGAACTTGTGGGAGTTATAAACCTAATGTCTCGGCAACCGTTTTTACCAGTGCTCATACTGAAATATGAAGTCTGGTAAAAAATGCAATAATAATATCGAAAAAAAAAAAAGGAAAAAATATTACAATATGTGGTAATCGTTCTGGGTAAGACGATTATCTACATCCGACAGCAAGGCCTTTGGTCAGAAGGTTTTGAGGGGCTCGGAACCGCCTCTTAATTGCTGATGTTCCCAAATCCACCTTGACCCGGGGTGACAGAACGTTCCAGGGTCACAGTTATGGGCAAATAGTTAACCCCCAGAAGAGGTTAAAACACTATGAAATTATAAAAAATACTTTTTAGTACCAGCAATATATATTTGAAAAATATATTACAACCAATATATTTTTGAAAAAAAATAGTAACAATATATTTTGAGAAAATAGTAACAATATATTTTGGAAAAAAAATGTTACGAGCAATTAATATCTTGTCGGCATTAAATAATGCATTGAGATTGATATGCCGTAAAAGAAAACAAAGCCTTCAAGATCACGCCCTCCAATCCTTATTTTCCACCTTATGTGCCATAGAAACATCAACTGTTTCTTTCTGATTCTAAGTGTAAGTGTCCTTTTTTGTTTCCATTTTGCCTAAAACTTCCTCATTGCTTAAACGATCTGTAAATTTTTTTACCAGCAATATATTTTTGAAAAAAGAATATTACGAGCAATAAAAATCTTAACGGGATTAAATAATACATTGAGTTTGATAGTTATTTTCCAAGCATAGCTGTGGCACAAGGCCGAAAGTATGGGGCACCCAGTGAGGATCGAACTCACTTTTCAGTTGTAACTGATCTAGCGAGACAAGCTTGCTAACCATTACACCACGCCGTGGTGCACATCATTGCGTTTGATATGACGTAAAAGAGAACCAACCAAACCAAACCGATTGTGGTGTTGTTTACTTGGTTAATGAATATTATTTTTTCCTTGTAAGGGAGGGGTTATTATTACTACTACTATTAATCTTTTTATATCGTGTAAACTTCTTCTTCTTCTTCTTTACGTACTATTACCCTTGGGAAAGGTATGAATCCTCTTCTTCTCCGTCCAGCTATGGGTAAAATATCAGGACAGACTGGGTTCTATAGCTTTGGATGGCAACTGGTCTAGGAGAAGGACAACTCTGAATTCAAAACCTGCGGAGGGTCGTTTGGGGACCTTGTGGCATTCGGTGCACCAGATCTCTGTATTCGTCCCTTCAAAAAGTGTGGATGGTCCTGCACGAGGTCTTCACCACTATAATCAAATCTCATGTGCCCGTGTCGGGCTGTCGGTTTCCTGGAAACTGATCTGCTTGACCCTCATACGTCGAATGTCGACAGGAGAGTCAGTTATATATACATACATACATATATATATATATATATATATATATATATATATATATATATATATATATATATATATCTATATAAAAAAAATACTGAAAAATATACCGTTATGTACTGTTTTAATACTATTCTGTTTCTACTCTTTTTGAGGCTGATATTCTAATTCTTCTTCTACTAGCGTGATCGCTTAGGAATTCCAGGTTCTGTTAGGTTTGATTTGGGGTCGGTGTAATAAAAAACGGCGGGAATTGGAAATCAGAGAGTTGAGTTCCAATTCCAGTCTTGTTCGTCATATTTACTTACGCGCAAATACCCAAGGAAAAGGAATGGATCCACGTATTCTACCCCGTAGCTATGGGTTAATTAGTAGGACTTGTATCATCAACAATAATAATTATTATTGGCTAGAATCGAAAAATTATTTCTGGCATTAAATAACCAGCAAAAGATTGATAAACCATAAAAACAACTTCTTCTTCTTCTTCTAATACTACTAGTACTTCTTGAACTCCTCCTCCTACTCCTCCTCCTCCTACTACTACTTCTAAAATTTCAAAATATTGTTCTTATTCTACTTTCTATAATTAATTGTTTCATCTCTCTCTCTCTCGCTCTCTCTCTCTCTCGCTCTCTCTCTCTCTCTCTTATTACGGATCCCTGATTCATTATACCTGTTTTTCTCGCAATTACACCTACACTTTAATTAATTTCGTTTTTTTATATGCCCCTTCTCCTTCACTCGCTTACATTCCTTGTTCTACCTCCTCGCATTTTTCAATATCATACTTTTTTTTTAGTTTTCTTTTCCTATTCCCCGAGATCTTAAGCTCAATTTTCTCCCCCTCCCCATATTTGTCATCACGTACAAGTAAATTTTGTCGTATGTGATATTCTCAGTTAAATTCAAGTTTCAGTGTTTACTTTTACGAGTTCGCCATATTCGCTATGCCCACCAACCAATCAGATGTCCCTAACCCTGTCATCTGTCAATCAGCGTCTTCTAGAAATATCATCCATTCCTTGAACGACTCTTTGACTCTCTTCATTCTACCGATGCTTCACCTATCAATTTGTCACATTTATACACCTTTTTCCCTTTAGCATCTGTTGTTTAAAATCTGACATCCTGTTTTTTTTGTGTTGTTTTATTTGTTTTTTTTTCATTCCTTCTTTCTGCAAGTGACAATTGTTTTCTTTTTCCACTGTTTTAAAATATTTTATAATATCTTGCACTGGAACTAACCCATTAATCATAAAGATAAGAAAAACATAGGTACACATGGAAAGCCGCCATAAGACGTAGTGCCAAAAGGTTGTTTTTTTTTCTATGACACCGCTTTTTAAAACATTATCTTCACTCTTCGGCAATGTAGATTGTTTTAAATTGGAATAAAACCTTAAAAAATCAATTTATACATTATTTTTTTCATGAAAATTTCCAACAAAAATATTAAACACTATTTACTTATTAAATTGTTTATTTACAATAATAATTTAATACATACAACATTCTAAAAACGAATACAACTTGAACTCGTGCAAGAGCTATTGTTTATCAATATATAAATAAATAAATGCCAAAACATTTTTATTCATAAATTTATAAACATTTATTAAATTATTAAAATATGTGGACAAATTATAATAAATAATATTTACCATTTTATCAAGTTTGAATCAATTAGTAAGTGCTGATATTTTGCTAAGTATTTGAAAAGATAATGTAAAATAAATAAGCAATCAAATAAATAGTATTCATTACGTCTTGTTATTTCCCCAATTTGTACTGGCAAGTGGCCAGTTCGAATCCTGGTCATGGAAAACGGGTTCGAATCTTACCATGATCGATTTCTTAGGAAGGAGACTTTCTCGTGTTTTCTGGAGTTGGAGGGGGGGGCGATCCTAGCGTGTAGAAAACCATACCACGGGTTAACCCGATCCTTGTTAGTGAAATTGAGTAAATGAAAGCCTTCGGGGTCGTCGATAGTCACAATTCATCCTGGCCAATGGATTGTGCGTGCTGGCTTGTTCAAATTATGTACTCAACAAATATCAATCAGTTTTTATTTTGACCTTTGAAGAATTATTTTATGTTTTTAAATAGCCCGGCATATGGATGATGGCAGTCGATTGATCACGCTAGATAAAAAACATTTTCCCCGGGAAACTATAACTAAGGTCTGCTTAGTATAGTTGGGATCTGTGGGTGTTGAATAAATACAAAGGCCCCTGAGCAAAAGGCTGCAATAGGGATTGGCTAGGCGCCCTAGAAGACGGGTGTCATCGAATACGCGTGGCCAGCTATACATTTCTCAAAAACAACGAAAATGTATAAATTTATTTCC